CCATTGTTCCACTGATAACGCAGACATATAAGGCCGTACAAGCAAAAGTAGTACCTTTATTTTGATTTACCGAATTTTGCGGTCGTTCACTAGAAGTGAAGGTCATGCCAGACCAATCTAGCATTTAAGCTCCCTTCCCCTCCGAAATCATAAGCACAGATGTGCTCTCCTGTCAAGCTGTGAGGTCAAGTCGACACACATTTGTGTCAAGGTGACTTTTAAACAATTGAGTAGACAGGGTAACATTGTTTTAGCCTCTTACTCCACCCCTTAACTCATCTCTTTTTATAAGGAGCAGGTAAAATTTGTCAAGATTAGCAGCCACGGATAGCATGTAAACAATGACAAGCTATTGCCTTTCTCTAAATTCCGTGAAAACAAAGTGCCAATTAGTGACAGTGTTAGGTGCTTCAATTTCATAAACTGACACCGTCTCCGTCGTTATACCTTCACAAAAATGAGGTGGTGCATAGACAAGCTGTCACGTTTGATGAGCATCTACCACGTGTATCTTAACAGGCAAGTCTGACGGGTCGGAACTCCCAGAGCGATAAATTGGATTTAAAAAAGAGTATTCTATCCTACTTCCCATCTCTTTCCTTTCCCTACAACATTTTTGCAGAGATGACAAGTGGGGATGTCACAACCTAGGATGTGCACAGTTAAAGTAGTGGTGAGAGGTCAGCCATTGACAGTGGCCGCAAGCTCCAACTTGACACCGCACCTCTTTTCGGAGGCATTACATTTCTTCCCACTTGACGGAAAATACACGGGAAACATTGAAACGAGCAATCTAAGAGATGACATTTGCTTTCCATTGGCAAACGAAGTTAAAAAATCATCACACTCTTGGCCATCTTAAGCCCAATTACCCTTCTTTACCGATTTGGGACAATATCATTCTCTCTGACGGTGCAATCTACACTGCTTTTGTACCCAACACGAGTGAATCACTTCTCTCACAGTAGTGACAACATCCAGCGGATTTTAGGCGTGATAATCAGCACCCTCTTATTTCTGTTCTCCTCCCTCCTCTTGCATCCTCCGCACCTTGGTGAGTGTGCAACGCTTTCATACAAGAAGTCTCTTCCCTTTGAATGGTTTTGAAGAACATGTTTGATCTCAAGTAATTCAATCTCCCCATACCATCTTCAGCCTACTGATCTGCAAGAGGCTTCTGAGTGTGGCCTGCTTGTACAATGCACAGGCTGCAGTTATTTTGCCAATAAGGCAGAGGTTTGCTACGAAACCACCAAAATCTGCAGATGCCGCCACCTTCACTTTCACTACACTTTTTCCACCACCAGTCTTTATTCTATTTTGCGTGCTATTTTGACATTTGAAGAACATAACTTGATGTGCGATGAACGAGGCAGGGCAGTATCTCCCACCCACACCCCAATCCCAATCCTCACCATTCCACTGTATTATTCTCCATTTCATTCCACAGCAAATACCCCTCAGTTTTGCGACATTAGAAGATCTTGCATTGTGCTGCCTTCCACACTACTAGGAATAAGGCAGCCTTCACATTGACCAGTTGACTACTCTCATCAACTATCTGCCTTGGCATGAGAAATGTGACATGCACATGTCGTGCAGCTGGATGGAGCAGAGGAATCCCACCCACCCGTAAGTGGTGTTTAGCGTGGAGGAAGTGGCTCGTATCAAACAATTCTGTCTGCAGTCCAGCACACACTCAGAGAGAGGGTGAGAAGGTGATATTCTGGGGAGAGTGGTGCCACATACGTGTTGGTATGGCATGTTCATGTGATTAGAAATGCATGTCATACCTCAAGACACCCAGTCAGTCAGTCAGTTGGTAAGCAATCTAAAACACCCAATTTTTACAAAACACCTCGTTGTGTGTCTTGCACGCAGGAGGCTTCCACTGCATCCCTTCCACTTGGTGTAGGTGTTAACGAATTACCATTATCACTCACAAGAATAGCCTTCCTTGGTGGAAGATATCGTCACCTAATTCAATCATTTGCACTATTTCTATGCATTACGCTTACTTCTACCCTCACCGCCATCCATTCCTGCACCACAACAAACCACCAAATGCTGTGCTACTGAAGTCTTCAGTAATTTTTGGAGCTTCGCCTCATCTATGCCACGTTCAACCAGTTCCTTGTACAGTCAGTGCTCAAAATAGAGCAATAACGGTGAGAGAGTAGAGTAATGCACACCCTGCCGATGGGGTGACAGTTCTCTTCTCCATTAAACCGCATGAAAAACTTTGGCCACCTTGGTAACTGCTTGAGGGACGCACACGGATGAATGTGTGTGGGAAACTGTCTAAAAGAGGAAAGACAACACTTGTGGGTGTAGGAATTTGGTTTATCTGAATGACGCTGTAATAGGTCACAGAGATTAATAAGCACGAGGAGACGCGACTTTCACCAGCCTCTACTCTGGTAACGAGGCGCCCTACTCAAGCCCTATTTTCCCCTCAAATCCCGCTAACTCAACACACCTGTACTGCCAAAGTTAGGAGGCGGTGATGCAGTACCACCGAAATAGGCTATACCTACCTTATCCCATTCACAGCAATTGTTTACCACTAGGACCCACAAACTCGTGAGTTGCCTCCACCTACCACCAAATCATGCTGTCATTGTCATCTAAGAAAACACATCTGAGGAAGGAGGGTTAGGGAGGAGGAGGTATGCACATGAAATGGCAACTCGTAAGCGTCCTAGCGACAGGCATTTACGCGTCACTGTTTTTGTCTTTTCTTTCAAGCCTTCCAAATCATGTAAACTCTGCTTCAGGCATAATTTTTTTTTGTCCACAGAATGAGTGATCCACATTAGCGAAATAATGACAAACCTCCTGATTTTGGAAAGGAGAACTAAGGTGCAAAGCCATGTCAGTACACATTTGAAGCAGTACGGAGGAAAGATGAAGACAAGTCAGTCAGTGACAGTGTCCGCAAGCTCCAACCTGACACTGCATCTCTTTTTGTAGGCATTGCATTTCAACCTACTTGACAAAAATACACAGAATAATGCCAAAGTAAGAAATCTACCAGGGACTATTTGTTTAGCATTGGAGGAAGAAGTAAAAAATCATCACACCCTTTCTCACCTCAACCGAGTTGGTGCACTATTATTTGCTGGGACGGTGACACCTACACCGTTTTTATGCGCCCACCACAGGTGAATCACTTGTCCCCACAGTAGTGACAGCATCAATCGGATTGTGGGATGAGAATCAGTACCCTCTTATCCTACTCTCCTCCCTCCACTTGTGCCCTCGGTACCGATGAGAATGCGCGAAGCATTCATGCAAAAAGACGTTCCTCGTCAAACGGTTGGAACAAACTTGTTTAGCCCCAAGTAATTCAATTTTCTCACACCATATATGGCTAACAAATCTGCAAGAGACTACTGAGTGTGCCTTACTCATATAATTAGGCGTCTGCACAATGCACAGATCACAATTATTTTGCCAACAAGGCAGAGGTTTGCTAAGAAACCACCAAAATATTGCAGGTGCAGCCATTTTCGCTTTTACACTACTTCTTCCACCACCAGCTTTTTTTCTGTTTGGCGTGCCTGTTTGACATTTCAAGACCATAACTTGACGTGTGATGAAGGAGAAATGGCAGTATCTCTTACCTCACATCCTCCTTTCAACCCTCACCATTCCACTGTATTCTCCTACATTTCATCCCAAACTAAACATTCCTCAATTTTGCGGCATTTGAAGCTCTTGCATTGTGCTGCCTTCCACACTACTAGGAATAAGGCAGCCTTCACATTGACCAGTTGACTACTCTCATCAACTGTCTGCCTCAGCATGATAAATGTGACATGCACATGTCGTGCAGCTGAATGGAGCAGAGGAATCCCACACGTAATCGTTGATTGGTGTAAAGGAAGTGGCTTATATCAAACAATTCTGTCTGTAATCTACCACGCACACGGGGAGAGAGGGCGATATTCTAGGGAGAGTGCTGTTTCACAAATGTCGCTATACCATGTTCTTGCGATTAGTAATGTATGTCACACCTCGAGACACTTAAACAGTCAATCAGTTGGTAAGCAATCTAAACAACTCCGCTTTTGCAAATCATCTTTTAGCATGTCTGTCACGCAGGAGGCTTCCACCACAACTCTTCCACTTGGTGTAAGTGTCAACGCACTATTATTATCACCCACGAGACATAAAATTGTTCCTTCGTGCAAGATATTGGCACCGCCATCGAGGGTTTTGCACTATATTTATGCAGCAGGACTACCCCTGCCCTCCCCATAGTTCATTCCTCCATCACAACGAAACACCCAATGCTATGCCACTGATGTCACGAGTACCTTGTGCAGCTTCGCCTCACCTCCGCCATGCTCAATCTGTCCCCTGTGCAGTCAGACCTCAAAATTGGGAGAGAACAGTAGGAGAGTACAGTAAATAGCATCCTATCAATAAACTGATAGACTCCTCCTCCATCAAACCGCACAAAATTCGTTGGTGCCCTCGGAGATACCTTGAGGACTACATATTGATATAAGTGTATTAGAAACTAACCAACAGAGGAAAGACACTGCTTTTAGATTTACCCAAATGGCTTTTTGATAGATTCCGGAGAATAACAAGCACGGGGAGACGCGACGCTCTCTAGCCCTTACTCTGGTGGTGAGGCATCCTACTCAAATCGTGTAATATCATCGGGGAAGTAAAAATTGAGGTGCTCAAAACCAAGCCTCCTTCTCTGTTTCCCATATACCACTCTCCTACATAAAAGTTCTCTTTATCCGCAGCATTGCCCATAAATTGGGCATAACTTACAATTAATTGAGAGAGATGGGGTAGTAATGATGGGGGTCTGGAAGAACTGCTCTTTTCTAGAGAGAGAGAGAGGAATGTGTATAAAAGGTGGATAGTAGAAATAAAAAGAAAAGAGGTGGAGTAATTTCTTCGCCCAGGTATGCATCGAGTCGACGAAATCCTCCTCGCCTCGATAACAATCATTTACGCGTGGACCTAATGACTGTCTAGTCAAGACTCGAAGTGAGGTAGACCAAATCTACCATGCCTATCCACTTCTGTTTGCCCATGGCGTAAACATGGGGTAAGTGGGGAGGTAAATAGGGCAGGAGAAGGGGGGAAGAGGGTGGACATGGAATAGTCACAACAGAGAGGAAGAGTAGCACTAGTACAGTAGAATTTGCTAAAATGTGTAAAATTTAGTCGGTTACCATCGGTAAATGGGAAACATCTGTCTTCTCCTCACGAGAAATACCACAAGTAGCCAAGAAGATAGGCATTTTACGAATTCGTGTGGATGGAGGCCTATTTACCCCACCCACTACTGCTCATTTGCAAACAAAACAGGCGTCTTGAATTGCGCCGCCTGTCACTGAAACAAGCAGTCAATCAAGTTATTTCCAATGATTCTACCAAGAGAAAGAGGTATCGTCAATACCTCCAAGCCAAAAGTGGCCGTAATCGGGTATGAAAGGCTCAAAGCATAAGTAAAAACGACTACAGTTGATAAGACACCGAGGAAGGGAGCAAGAGCCTCTTTTGGGCGAGGAGACTGTTGATTGGCTAAGGAGGGATAATATA